CTTAGCACCTCACCATTGCTGAGGCTGGCTTTGAACTTGCAATTCTCCTGCCTCAGCCCCCTGAACCACTGGAATAACAGTCATGCGCCACTGTGCCTGGTTCCAAAGTTACTTCTTTAGGAAGACCATTCCTCATTTAAATTAGGTCTTTCTTTCCTTCACATAATTTATCTCAATTTTCATTCGTGTGTTATACGTGTAGAAGCACAGGTTATAATTAAGGACATGCACGTGTATGTCCTTATAAATATTTGAAATGCCTGTCTTTCTTTTAAGATTGTAAGTTCCAGGGAGATAGGAATTAAGTTTTGTGTTTATCACCATATACCTGGCACCAAGCAGAATACAATATGACACGAAGAGAATTAATAAATATGTGTTGAACAATTAAATAAGTGAATGTGTACCGTTGATTTGTGAGGGGAACAGAAGAGGCAGGGACAAGCATTTCTCAGTATTGACCACAGGGATAATGACTTTCCTGGGAGAGGGAGATAATATTTAACCAGTTGTCCACAGATGCAGGAAAATTCAAAACCGGGCATTAGTATTTAAAATAGAAATTCTGCACTTTCTTTAAATGTTTGGTACCCTACTTACAATAGAGACTGCAAAAGTAGACTTAAATGAAGGAATGTCATCGTAGCTCACGAGTGCAAATCCCTTGTGTTCACATTCTTTGTGCTCATGAACCCAAAAGTGGAAATGATTTGTTGACAAGGACAAAGAAATTACCACTGAGAAATAGCTACATGCTGTTGATTTGTGAGTTTCTGTTTTCCCAGAAATTTTTGCCTAAGCTTGTGAACGCTAACTTACCAGCCAGATCGCATTTCTTTTAATAGTAGGTATTGTCGCTGATTTCTTCTCACCCCTTTACCTGATAGACTTGAAAGTCACCAGAGTTGAGGCAATATTCAGAATGCAGGACTCAGACCCACTAACGTGATAACAAATGTTCCCTTCCAAGAAGAACCTAAGGGAAGGGAGAATTCCTTCCAGAATCCCCACCCAATTGTTCTGCATTCCAGAAGCTATTCATTTCCTTTGCTCCCATCACAGGAAAATGTTGAGTCTCAAGGGACACAGTTAAGAAAAAAGTTGCTTAAGGGAGAAACCAAAATAATTCAGGAAATTTTAATGGAGCCACTGACTGTTCCTCTTGAAGTCTAATGAGGATGTTCCTCAGAAGGAAACTCAACAGATACTACCCGGGTCAGGCATGGGCCTGATGCCATTCAGCAGTGTGAGGCCAGGAGAGGACATTGCCACCTGACAATGCTCAGGGGACAGACAGGAAAATAGTTTAAGCTGCAGAGGACATGGTAGGTAAGCTGTGAGCACTGAGCTATCAGAATCCAGAACTCTAAATCCATCACCTATCTCCATGGCATATGGGCTCTCACAAGGTAGAGGGCTTTGGCTCACTTCAGCTTTATGGGACATTCTCTACCTGCTGAACTTCTTGTTATTTTTACTGATTCCCTGAAAGTCTAGCCCTGCCCAGTCTCGGTGGGGGTTAGGATCAAAGTGGTAGGATATGTTCAGAATGTGAACTAATAAAAAGCTGTGGGACTTTCTAAATTGTTCCAATGAAATGGAAAAGAAAATTAAAAATTTAAGCCTCTTAAAATGTAAATGGTGCCAGCACATCTTGCACTTTAAAGACTTACCCACTTAAAAAAGAAGAAATCTGGAGTGGTGATGAGACGAAGCACAAAGGTTATGAAGAGTGCTAAGCTGGAGATAAGAGGGGCCCTGCTTCTGCTCCCTGGGTGGTGTCCACAGTTCACGCCTGGCCCTGGACCTCTCCGTCTTCATTGGGTCTAATGTCTCTCGTAAGTCATGTTCTGAGCACTTCATGTTAATGACCCTAAAAATCTCCCCAAAGGTAAGAAGTGCTTCTATAAGTGTCTGCAATTGTTAGTTCAATCAATTAGGTCTCAACCCAAAAGGAAGGAAGAAGAAAGTCATTTTCATTTGAGCACAATTGCTTCAGAACACTTCTGCCTGTCTTTCCCCAAAAGGCATACACTAATCTCTCTCACTTGAGTAAGATGGAAAACCCTGGATGACTAGGTCACCTTCCATGGCTGGTGAGCACGTCTTGCCAGCCTCGATTCAGCAATTACTTCTTGTTATATCTGATCTTTGAGCTGGTGCCGTATTTTCATGTTACATAGAGCTAAGTGCCCCCAAATCACTAACAGCATAGGTTAAGTGTTCTTACTTCTACCTCGGCCTGGCAGGATTAAATCCTTCCTCTGATGTAGCTCCACATCCCTGGACATCAATTTGTCAGGCTGTGTGCATCCATGTACCCTGCAAGGATGAAGGACTCAGAGGACCCAAAATGAGGTCCTCTTTGACCTTGTTTCCTGAAATTGAATAGCCTAGTGCCTGGCACATAGTAAGGACTTGATTAGATTTTCTCTTAATATAATGTTTTTTTTACACAACACTTTGGGGTCCTAGTTACAAACAATATTTTGCTGCTTACAATAGGAAAAGCAGAAATTTGCTTCTGAGGTGAGCAGAAATTTCCACAAGGTTATTTTTCTTCCTCGGCATAAGGAAAACAGTGTTTCCTGACAGATACTACTCTCCTAAGTGATGAAAGATTTGTACAGTTGGAGCAGACTGTGTGGGGTACAAACATTTGTTATTGTAACTTTAAACAAATCAGAAGAACTTCTTTTGGCCTGTCTGACCCAGGTGTCTTTCAACAGCTCACATTTGTAATGCGCTTGCAAACAAACAAACAAAAAATATATAGCTATTTTGTTAATTAGATTTTTTTCACATTTATTAAAATAATTTTTAAAATTCTTATTTAAAAATAATAGTCAATAAAAATCTCCAATAATGAAACTGAAGACTATGTGTAATATGTTGTTCATTTGTTAACTTGATCTGTTGGAGTAGAAAATATTTGGATATATGTACAATGAGCTATCAATTAGTGGGAAAGGGAAAGAGAAAGAATTTGGGATAAAAATTGCCTTTTTTTAAGTACCATATACTAATCACGCATCACGAGAGCTCCTAAATTTTGCTCTCTAATTTGTAAACTTGGTTTGCTTTTGCTTCTGCTTTTTGTTTTGCTTTGTTTTACTGTGCTGGGAATGGAACCCAGGGCCTCTTGCATGCTAGGCAAGCACTCCACCACTGTAGGATATCCAGCCCTTATATCCATTTTTTTAATATTTTGTTTTGTTTCGAGACAGGCTCTCAAACGGGAACTTGCCAAGTTCCTGCTTGGGCCTCCTGAATAGCTGGGATTACAGCTGGGATTACCCCACCCTGACTGGCTTGAAATGGATTTTGATGACTCTGTGGGTTATAAACCAGCACAAGAATCATTAGCTAAAGTTTGATATTCAAGTCCAGTTTGGGTCTAAGTTGAAGCTTTCTTGGATGCCTCACTGGCCTTTGGGTGTCCGTACCCTAACACTTTCCACTGTAATCATTAAATATATATATATGTGTGTATATATATATTTAATGATATATATAATTTATTTTTATATGGTGCTGAGGATTGAACCCAGTGACTCGTATGTGCAAGGCAGGCACTCTGCCACTGAGCCCAACCCCAGCCCTCCACTGTATCTTACAGCAGGGGCTCCCTCTATCCAAGTTCTGTGGCAGTGAAATTGATGTGGTCAGCAGCTTCTCCCACAGGCCGGCCATGCTGAGTAGATCATCAGCCTGTGCAGCATTTGAGCAATGAGTGTTCGGGATAAATGATGTATCAGGTAAAATAGTAGCTTCCAAAGTTCATGTCTACCCAGAACCTTACAATGTGACCTCATTTGGAAACAGGGTCTTGGCAGGTATAA